GTATCACATATGATCAAGCTTACCATAATGCTGAATTTAATCTCGCTAATCCTGAACTAACTTTAACAGTCTATCATGAACACGTTCTTAAATGTTTTGATTATGCACGGAGACTATAACTTAGTGCTGGTTTTCAGCATGGCTAGCAATAATTCAGCACCCTATGCTAATTCTAGGCATTTTCAGAAGGAGCTCATAACCTATTGGGTTTACTAATCAGCGTTGTTTCAGCTTAGATGCAGCACTAACTAACATATCTCTAGGACTAAAAGACTTAATTCAGCTCATAGTCGCAATTTTTAGTTACTAAGCCTATCTGTAAACTGTTGTCGCTTTAATGAAGAGTCCAATGCTCTTATTAAGAATGATCAGCGTTATTTCCTATTAGGTTCCTTTTAGGTAGGTAAAATACTCATTTACCATAAAGTGAAATTGCCGACGCATAGGTTAGAATAAGTTTAGACTAATGGTGAGCCTCCAAAGCCTCAGGATGGTGGGGGTGGGTGCCTTGCGCTGCCGGTTGGCCACCCCTCCGTACACCTCTTGAAATGCTCCCGTATGACCGGGCGTCTCACATAGCCTCTCCTGAGGAAGTCCTACTCACTACCTTCACGTGGCGGAGGTGTTTTCACCGAAGTGAGAGGGCAAAAGCGGATGCCCGGCGCTCTCCACCGGGTTGATTGTCCATTGGATGACAGTCTAGGGGAGATGGTTAAACCCTGATTCCAAACCTCCAACGACTGGCGTATGAAGCTCACCGGCGGACGTATGGACAAAGGGCTTATTGGATGCGCTGGATATCTGGCCCCATTCAAAAAGGCGTATGAACCGGACTCCGGTCACCGGCTGCCAATGGATAGTGGACTCCCTACTCCACTCCTACTACCTTGTAGGTCACACTTGGTTGTGTAAAGGCTAGAGCTGCACTCTCAAACAAAAGGCCGAGCGATGCTGGGGACATCACTCGTACCTAATTCCCATGAAACTTCATGAACTAATGTTCATGAAGCCGGCTCATCCTCCCGTAGGAGATAGCCGAAGTAAAGTAAAGTAAGTGAGCTTGATGATGCAAGTATCAGTACTGGTTCAACGTTGTAGGTCATCAGTTGAGTATCGCCTCAGTTATGGATATTAAATACCAGCTTTATACATGAAAGTCAGTGGGCTGATGGCTGTGTAAAACATATCTCGGGAAACCCTATAGGGTTCACTAGTCCCATTACGATTTGTAGTTTTAGAAAGAAAGCTTTTTATTATGCTTTGATTCCACACCGTATTTTGGTGCAAGTATGGGATTTCCAGCATGTAATATCGGTTGTCCGAATTGTGCAGGCCAACCATTGATATCAGGTGTGCACCGGAAGAAGGTCGAACCTCGGACCATGTGCCTGGCCAACTAGAGTCTTAACCGCTGTGCCACCGACGCACACATAATGTTGTATATCAGCAACTATTTCAGTAACTGGAACTTATTCACATTACATTAACGTGTATTCGTGATTGCAATTCATCAGTCCTTAACTGCATCGCAATGTTTCCTATGACTTCGGCACTAGACCTTCACCTACATGTATGGTGAGAACCAATGTTTAATTGATATTTCTGTTCCGGTTAGTTAAATAATTTTGTCGGTTTGCAGAGTGGATCTAGGGGGTTACATTTAAACTTTCAAAGATTATGTATCAAGACTTGAATTGCATATAGGCAATCACCACTTATTTTAATGTGAAGTTTCATTTAAAATTCTACTGCATAATTTTGTATTTTAGGTTTTTATTTGTATATAATCCATCAATAAATGTCACCAACTTCTAAACAGCAGAATGTGGACATAGAGGCTAAATTACTGGGTGCTAGCTTGTATTCTGGTGGTGGTCTCGTTGAGTGTGCAGTTACCATGTCCTCTGACTCAGAAAATATCATTAAAAAGGACTACTACTGGTTGGTTCAAAGTTAATTCTTTTGACCGATATACCTTATTCTTATTATTTTTAACTCACTCAAGAGTTTTATCAGTTTACTAATTATGTTCATGTTTGCCTCATTTTACGTAACCTAGTATTAATATTGTGAAATTTATTAGCAGTAAACGGTTATATCACTATCGTGATAATTGGCTGAATATCAGTTTAATTTATTCGTTCCACATTTTGTCTAATAGTCACCAGAATACAGTTTATGTCCTGTTTCATCTTCCTAAATCCAAGTAGATAATTTATAGTTTAACCATCCGTAGAGATGTGGTTCATCTGCTTCGGCATTAGTCTCGAATTTGAGCCCTACTTTAGCCCTCACAATGAGTGTGGCTCTAGCCTGGTATGTAAAAGATCTGTTCCGGGCAATTAAATTCAAAGCTTAGCCGTCGAATGAGTTGTGGCTTGTAACCTAAGATGCGAATTTGTTAATGATAACTAGTTTACACTGAAATTTAGACTGTTCTCAGATGATTTTTTAGGATATAACAGTGATTACCCTTTTGAGAACTAAATCTTGTTAGGCGTATCGGATATTTTCGTGATAACCAATTTTCGTCGTGTTCATAATTATTGCTTACCTTTACTTAACATTTAACGTTTATCATTTAATAAAGTACTCAGTTAATGCATATCAAACAAATAATGATTTTGGTTGAAATATCAGTTTTTCAAACAACTTAAGCCTGTTAGACGAATGCTCGGGATCCACTATATATATATATATATATATATATATATATATATATATATATATATATATATATATACTTCAGGGTTACTAAATGAATATTAAGAATTTGAATCTTCCAGGGTTTCTGAAATTCGTTCGTAACTTACAAATTTTCAACTATCTAACGTCCTTACTTGAGATTCCATTCTCAAGTTTTCCATTGTTCATGGTTTGATGACACAAAATGCGAGCAGTACTTTAAAAGCAGCCTGACTGACTGGGTTTCAATATGCAGTTGTACAAAGAATCCCAGAATTTCAAGCTGCCACACTTCATGTATTATACAAACTTAGAGAAAACAAAAGAAAAAATACATAATGGATAGAAATTTATGGCAGTAGTAGTCAAATATTTAGAGCCTATGGAGGTCTTTTACTTTTATTGGATAATCTGATATCTCGCCTTCTCAAAATTCCATCTTCTTATTCTTATATTTTTAATTTAAATGATACAAATGTAATGGGATGATTTGATGACAAGTTGCGGATTCCGCATTCTTAATATCACAATTGTTCAACGTGTTTCTTTATTAACATCGGATTTTTTCTGTTTTATTTCCTTTCTAAAGGTCAATCACTGGTATAGTTGGGTGTATTATTGGGCAGTGTAGGCTGGACAATAAACATCTGACAAAACCACATCAAGCATCCCCAACATCACTGTCACTTGCTACTTCTCAATGGAAATACGATGATGCACTAAGCTGTACGTGTATTGTTATTTTATTCCCTTGTCTTCTGAATGGAATACAGGGCTTCTAGCTTCAGCTTTAAAGTTTCAGTGGCGGTAGTACTTTTCTTCGTGTCTAACCCTCCCTCTTTAGCTACCTTATTTGCCTTCTAGGCAGGGTTTCAGGGTACGTTGGCCAGGGATCCAGCCATGGACCACGTGCGTAGTTGGCGAAGATTCTATAATACACTAATATACTATAATATCACTGAGCCGCAGACGTACACGTGTTGCTACATACTTATATTTGTATTGTCGATCAAATATTGTGTGGTTTTATAATTTTGAGGTGAACACATTCGAAACCGTAGCCGTGTTACATGTGTGACTACATTTTAATCCTTTGGGCAGTTGACTCTTCTCTAGTAAGGTACTAGTTCGATTTCAACCACACCCACAGAGATTTGTTCACTGCAGATAGTACAGCTAAACACCGAACCGTTAATTTTCAACTAAAGGCTTTTAATACAGTCTGCATTTGTTCATTATTGCTATAAAGTGTTAAACTCATACGCTTTTTGATTCAAATTCTTGAACTCTGGTGCAGAATAACCCTAATTCAAGTAGTTATGGAAATAAGAACTTAGAAGCCGGAGTATAATAGATGAATTTCCGTAGTTCATAGTGCATAAGTACTAACAAATAATAGGTTATTCAAGTGCTTTTTGAGAATCGATTGACTACATATAATTTTATTCGAGTTCACATCAAAACCACATAAATGAAAAAAAAACAGTTAAACCATCATTTAGCTCCCATTGGTGATAAGTGTGATTGTGAAATTTAACTCCACTTTTATATTATAACTTCACAGAATTGTGCGGTAATAAATTTGTAATTATGTGATCTGAACGTGTTTCTGTCATAGCTTCTAGATGATGAGTTAAAGTATAATGCATCTTCTTTAATTGGAACATCTGAGTTTAATTCATAGCCTAGAAGTTGTGAATATTTTTCAAATTGTCCTCTGAGGTTTTGCTAAACTTGTCAAGGTGTGTCGTATCCCTCCCCTGTATGAAAGCTGTGTCGAGATTTTTGTTTTTATCAATCTTTGAGTATATCATAGTCTAATGTAACTTCAGTTTGAAGTTCATATATAGGTCTATATGTTCACTAATCAGTTACGAAAAGAACGAGCTAAGGTGCCTTTTTCCTTAGGTGCTGGTTGTCATTCTCTCTTAATACTATTTTAAACCTATAATTGTAGTATGTATTAACAAAATAATATTGATTGACTTGTGACAAATATGACTAAGAAATGAATGGACCAAAAGCACAACAAGTAGCATTAAGTTTTGCGTATTCAGGCAACGTCATACAACCTATCGTGAACCAGTTGCCTAAAACATCAATTTTCACATAACATACAGTCTATCTTATCCATTTAAGCCCTCATTTCTGCATATTTCTAGGCCTTTTAAAACTTTAAAGCTTATCAGATTCATTCTGGTATTTTCTTTTCATCAGTTCATTATAAAATTATCAGGAGTTTTCAAGAGTTAATTTTTAGGGACTTAATTTATTTCAATTTTTTCATCATGGAGCGATATCAGTTACAGAACCATTGGATGCTAGAGAGTACTGGATGAAACAGCTGTTCACTACTCTCATTGAAAACGAGAGAGTACTGGAGAGCTGTTTTGTTCTAGATTAGGACTCTTGATCAGCACCCACCCACTGGGGATCGACACCAGGACTTCCTAGTTACTGAGCAAGCTCAGCCTGCAGTTCTAGTGAGAAGCTTTGACCAGTGGAGTCCATCAAGTTAAGTGTGAGGGCAGTGATATAGACTGGTGATTGCACAAAAATTACAAATTGGTAGAGGTTATAATTTATAGGTCATTGTCTCGGGTCTCAGTGGCTGAATGGTCTACGAACTTGCCTTTTAACTGAGAAGATCCTGGTTTGGCAACTCGGTGGGTGGGCCCTAAAGTCCCAAACTAGGATGGAATAGCTGTTCAGTATTTGCAGGCTTTCCGTGATCAAACTTGTTAACTTATTTTGGCAGTTCATTTTCACATGTATTTAATGTAAATTATTTTAACAAAATTGAATTGCGCCTATGTCAGTTTGGCTTTTATGCATTGTTTTACTTTTACCTGACCAGTAGTTTGAATAGATGGCTGTGACAATGCTTTATTCCTTTATTCGATACTTATCTTGTAAATATTCCAAGAACCAGTAATCTGTCCACAACAACCTATTTTATGCCACATATGAATTTTATTTCTATTTATTTAAAACACACAACCTAGTACATTGTAGACCATACAATGATAATAAAACAGCGACATACGGAAAAATAGGTAGAGAATGAATAAGGATTTCGTCGGGAAGAGAAGCAGGTGGTATATTTAACAAGACCAAACAACATTCGTCACTTATTGTCAGGAAGGGAAGAAAGAAGGAAACTGCAGCACGTTCGCCATTGGTTGCGATTTTTGGCCATATCCGATAACGTTTTGAGCTACTGATTTGAGCTATCTCTCGGGCCCCAACCAAGGAGTCGTGACACACCAAGCGATGCTAACCTAACAAAAATATCCTTTCTCCCACGACGCCACATCATAAGCTAACCACCTCCCCTCTTTTCTCATCCCGTCCCAGTGCTAGCAAATACAGACCGGTATGGAAGGCGCTGAGACGACATTCGTAGCATATGTCCAATCACCGAAGCCGGTGTTTCCAAATGGAGACACTCAATGAATGGTGATCTCCAATGTGTCCAAACACTCTGTCGGACATCGAAATTAATCACACTGCTGTGCCATCGAACGTAAGCAATTTTAAGGAGATAGCGATGTCCGAATACGCAGAGTCACCGCACATCCCCAGTTCAGAGAAGCCCGAAGTAGAGCAAGACAGTGCTCACTGGAGCATTGTAAAACCTACCTTCGACAACCAAGCTAACGTTCTGACCGCGCCAGAGGTGGCTCAAATTAGCGTGTCACCTTAAGTTTCATGATACGGTTAGAAATCCCATCCCAGGTACATGAACTTATCGACAAATTCAAGCGGTTCACTTGTAAGAGTGCAAGTACAGGTTCCTGCCGAGGTTGTAATAGTGCCTTGCGCTTAAATAGTGCAATGCACATATCATACTTACAGAGACTGATCGCCAACTGATTAACTGCGATTTGGGTAGTCTGATGAAGAACTAATTCATAGAAAAATATTCATTCTCTTCACCTTTGTTTCATAATGTTTGATTTGCCACATCTTTACCCATATTGTTCTCTCTGCTTATTTTCCCCTTCTCTTTTAGTTGATGCCGAGTCACTAATTGCTTCTTCATTAGAACCTAAAAGTCAGCTGATATGTGTCATTCCAATGCATGTGAAATATATCCCAGAAGAACACTTTAAAGGGCCTGGTAACTTATAAAACATTGTTCATCTTTTTCCAGTCTAATTTCTGTATTTAATAGTTGTCATGTATAGTTATTCTTTTAACTTGTGTTTACTATGTTCATGTACAGCAGTGTACTACTGCGTGCTAGTTAAGTGAAGCTAAAGCATTTATAACCGTATCTGAAAAGGATTGTATACAGTGCCATTTGAAATAACGAAATATGAATATGCTGGCTGTCAAAATATGTTATCACAAATTTCCACAAGACCTTTTGTGTTACAACAACAGCAACACTGTGAATTGTTGGTGTTACTTGGTTGGAGGCAGTCGGCAGGAAGCCTTGGACCTAGGATTCGTGCTAGTTGGCACTCATCACTATCACTCACCATCCAATACCAATAATTCCCAGTGCACCGTAATGGCGAGCCACCTAGCATGTTGACCACATTGCAAGCTTGACTGATAGAATTAACTCTGCTCCGAAGATAGGACTAGACACATTACACTAGTTACTGACTAGTGTGCAATCAAAAACAACAACAACAACTAATATTTCCCCATTTACTTTTTTCTTGTATTTATTTGAAATTCGACTTATTCTATCGCAGTGCATATGGTTTTGTTCTATAATGGCGCCGTATTACTTTACGCTTAGTCAAATAAATTGATATATTATATAATTGTGCCATAGTGCTCAGTTTTTTCATCGGATTTTGTTCATGCTAACACTACTAATAGTGTAATCTCATTTTCTTTTAATCTACAGCAACTCTATGGGCATATCTTCCACATAATCTCTCACCTAGTGTCCGTGGGACGTTATTTAAATTTGCATACAAAGTGGTAGTTGCAGTACAAGTGAAAAATATAAATTCTGAAATCAAAAGCCATCTGATTCAATTACCGCTTCGTATATTACCCTCAAAAATGATGTACCAAAGTTTAAGAATTGAAGAAAATGATGCTAAAAAGGAAGGCTATCCACCTGATCACTCATCAAATCCATTTTGGGTTCCTGATACAAGAGATGAAAACTCGTACTTCAGTTTTGCTTTTGATGAATGCTCTCCTGTGCGTGAACGAGGAGAAGCTAGTAGCAGTCATTTGTGGGAGGAAAAAACTGCTAGGTCTTCTGATGAATTATCCCCTAGTGTTTCTCAGTGTGAGGAACTCAGTTGTTCAGACCAATCTGCTCAAGATGCTAAGAAAGTATATATATACCCTTCTAAACAAGAAGAGTTAATGAATGTATTGGCGAATTCACCACCTGGTAAATATATATATATATATATATATATATATATATATATATATATGTAAATAAGAAAATTAAATTACTCAATGATTATTCCCGTAATATGAACGATCGTGACTATCCGAATAGCCAATAAAGTATACAGGTCTATTTGTACGATTGTCGGCTTACATTAGGTCGGACAAGCTTTATTGTCAGCCGAGAAGACATGTTAACCTTACTGGACAGTTTCATTTCGTTTCTTTATGGCTTAAATTTATGAGGTTTAAAAAAATAATATACCATAAATTTTTTCTAATAAAAGCTTGTCATTCCGGCCGTCGTTTTACCCAGTCTGACTTTGCCTTCTATCTCAGTTTGAGAGATATTTTCAAATGGTCAGTTGGTGCATAGTCTCGTGTTCTGGATTGGCACTCTAGTCAAGCTAGATAAACCCACAGTCTAATATCACTCCATCATAACAGCTTATTGCTTTGAATATTTGTAAACCTTTTGAATCTCATGAATCCTATGGTAGTTTAAGCATTAGAAGAGTTCTTAATAAGTGTTTTCTCGCACTTGTGTTGCAGTTTAATCCTTCTATACCAGCCTTGAAAGTTTTAGAAAGCAAATGTTGGACGTTTTAAAGCCTAGATAAGCTAGACAAGTTCGTAATGTTTGATGTTACTATCCAACTTTTCCAATCAAAACCGATAGGTTGAATAGTTTTAGTGTGAAACAAAAAGGTATAGATTGTATATAGTATAGAGGCATAACAGTTCGAGTTCTTTAGTATCAAGATGTAATATGTAAAAAAAGAATGAGCATAAGAACTTACTGTCTTCTCCACTCATCTTTGTCAAGTTGTATATGTGTGCTTTCTGAAATATCACGACACACTGTACTGATACACACTCAGTGTAGAAAGTTGAGTTGATTCGTCAACTAGGTAGGAATGCTACTACAATCAGTATGAAAAGACAGAGGTAGATAGTTTGACAGTCAGGACTCAGTTACGTGAAACATATTTTTCATATATCAGACTATGGGTCACTCTTACAGTGCGACGCCTGATTATAATATCCAGTTATCGAGGATTATGTTTGTGAAAGGGAATTCGAGCCCGATACACACTGGTCGAAGTCAGGTTCTTAATCCAATATCTTCGCATGCTGAAAAACAATTATGTTGCTCACGCAAAACTGAAATCATCAAATGCTTAAGAAATTATAATTATTTGGTGAACAACATCCTACTTACATGTATCCCGTAATGTTAAGATTATTTTTGACTTATTTCATAATTTGCTATGAACACGTTGACAAAATACTTGTAGCTTTCTGCATTATGAATCGAATGTGAGTAATTATTAAGCCATTAAACATAAGTTAACTTCTTTCCAGCTGTCATTTGAATTTCTATTCTTATTACTTGATACTCGCTTTCTTTCACGTACTGTATAAAAGTTTGTGTTTATTTATAATGCTTTCTATCTTTGTTTCCAGCCAACTTTGTAATTTCCACTTCACGTGGACGTATTGGTCGTTTGTCTTTTCAACGGACTCTACTCTGCCTAGGCGACATGATACGTGGTTACTTTGACTTCAATGAAGCTGTTGTGCCATGTTTCACATGTGTTATAAGTTTGGAGAGTGAAGAGAAATATATGCTGCATAGTGAAAATCCTTTCCTACTGTCAGATTGTAAAGTTGCAACCAGAAATGATGAAGTTCAAAACTATTCCATAGGCTGTATTCCTTTGTCCAATATTGGCCAATCTGTATGCACAAATTTTCAACCTTTAGGTATGTTTATGTATCTAGTTCACTTTGTTAGTAAAACTGTATATGGGAAAGTAGATGAAAGCCATTTTATTGACGGGAGTAATTGAGGTGTATCAGAGTACTTTAGTGTTAGCTTGCTTATTTGATTTATTTTTTATCATTAAAGCACAAACTTGAAACATTTTGGACATCAAGCGATGCACCACACCAAACGTCACAGTAGGCGGTTGTCATAAGGGCCCACCTCCCAAACCTTTAATTTGAAGTCTTTTCCATTAGGCAGTGAAGCAGTGTCAATTGCTATGTTCCCATGGTTTCCGGTGACCGAGACAAATTCAAATTCCACTCAATCCAATAAAATTTCGGCGCGAATGCTAACCATAAGTTTTTAATCAGGGTTTTTTGGCTCACATAGGTAGACGGATATGTACATCAGTCCGGATGCAATCTCCAGATGTTCTCATTCTCCTTTCCACCTGTCTAAGGAACACCGCGTGTCGTGTGAAGGCAGTGAACAAGACTTAGCTCGTAGAGGGAAATTATGAACACGTGACGACATGAGAGGACTTCGAGTGAAAGATCGAAGTCTATCCAGTCTCAGCCGTTCCAAGTCGTTTATAGGCTTAAAAACATATAACATATAGTCATGCCACCTCTAAAACTATGGGCGACAGTCCCACCTATGGTTATTAATACAACAAAGCACACAGTAATACTGTTAACAATAATCGTCATCCCCTTTATTTTCACCTTGCATACAGTTTAAAGTAACTTTTTTTGTTTGCCGTCCTCCCCTATTTTCAGGCACTACTCAATATACAGCGGGTGCAGATATTACATTGAATTGTATCTCAAAACTAATGTTACCCTTTACTATTCCTATACCAAGTAATATTACACCTCAGTTTCATTCTGTTAGTTTATCTAGTCCTTACATTGCTTTAGATTATCGATGGCGTTTACACTTAGAATTCGATTTAATTTCAGAAAGTAGTAAAAAAGATGTATTTGATCATCTAAATGGTAAAACCTGCGTAAAACGATCCTATGGTACCGTGTGGACTTTTCCTTCTAATATAAAAACTGAAAAATTTACAATGGATATACCAGTTCAGTTAGTGCTTTCAACTCCCTCTGTGATAGACTATTTACGTGATGATATAGAACGTTCTCTTCGCATATAGGTTGTTTTTTTTATAATGATTTCCTCTTTTGACTTACTTAGCTTTTGTACAAGAATGCTTATTTTTGTAATACTTTTGTTTTCCTTCTGATTTGATCAAATTATTTGAGGTTTGATTTCTAGTGTTTAAATATTTTTGTGTGGTGTATAATATCCACATATATTTCGTGTTTTGCAAATATCAGACATTTCAGTATGCATTTCTATGAATTTTAACTAAAATTTGCTTAAAAGAATATTTAATAAAATTGTTAGATTCTTTTTGTGTGGGGTTATGGTGGTGTGAGGAAAGAACCAATAAAATTATGGTTAGCTGAGTATTGTTTCACTTCTTTTCGGCATCAGTATCTTTGTATCGTTGAATATTTCAACGCCGATCTTCTTCTGTAACACGAAGACGTGTACACTAATTGTATTCTGGCTGTTCAGTTCAGTTTAGTATATGTATATCTTTCATTTGTACCAAGTAGATTGATTTAAATTGGATATGGCCTCATAAAGTGTGTTCATAACATGATAAGTACTTCCCTGAGGCATAATCATCGCCGTAGCGCTACCTGGCGTCCTCCCTCTGCGAAGCAAGCTTGGATTCAGATTGATCATATTGCTGTCAGTTTCCGGTGGCGAGGATGCATACAAGACTGTTGCTCCTTCTGGAGCACATGCCTGGACTCCGATCATGCGTTAGTGTGTGCTAAGTTCATCTTGCGATTTGGTGGGGTTCATAAAAGCCGTCGCCTAAGCGTTGATGTGAGCAAACTAGTAGCACCTGCTACTTCTTTGAAATATCAGAATGAGTTAAAATCAATGCTTGCCAGCAACCCCCCAAGTAGTATAGATGAACATTGGCTTCATCTGCAAGATGCCATGCAAAGGGCGAGAGAATGCTCCGCCAAAAACTACTGGGTTTCTGCGAGTTCCTTGCAACTCCTGGATGAACGCCGGTCCATTCCGGCTGGCAGCGAATACAACAATCAGCGAAAGGCGCTCACGCGCAAGATTAGACAGTGTTTACGTAAGGACCGCGAAGCCTGGTGGTCAGAACGTGCGTGTGAGATGGAGTCAGCTGCTGCATCTGGCAACAGTCGGAAGCTGTTCCAACTCATACGAGCCACCGGCAGCAAGAAACAAGGTGTCAGCGAGACGGTCTGTGAGGCAGATGGCACTCCAATTACCAGCTTGAAAAGACGCCTGGAACGCTGGGCAGAGCACTTCGGGAAGCAGTTTAGCTGGCCACCAGCTTCAGTGTCTACTATCATTAGCCCGAGTGCTCCTTGGTCGGTTAGTACCGACCCACCCACCGAAGCGGAGGTCCGTAAGGAACTCCAAGTTCTGAAACGCCATAAGGCTCCCGGCCCAGACAAATTACCCCCGGCTCTTTTTAAAGATGGTGGCGAGACTCTCACAATGGCTCTAACTGGGTTGTTCAGGAAGGTATGGGAGACTGAGAGTGTACCATCAATGTGGAACGAAGCCATTATCGTCCTCATCTTTAAAAAGGGTCGACGTAATTCGTGTGACAATCATAGGGGTATCAGTCTGTTACCAGTCGCGTCTAAAATATTGGCTGCTGTCTTGCTTCGCAGACTGTGCAAAATACGTGAAGGATTGATTCGCGAAGAGCAGGCTGGGTTTCGTTCAGGTCGTGGATGCATTGATCATGTGTTCACCCTTCGTCAGTTGTTGGAACACCGCCACACGTATTGCAGGCCAACGATCGTTGTGTTTCTTGATATTAGGGCTGCCTTCGATTCGTTGGACAGAACTGTGCTCTGGAACTGTCTGTTAGAGAGAGGTGTACCTGAGAAATTTGTTAACATCTTGAAAGCCCTATACAGAAACACCTCAGGTAGAGTGAGGGCATACAACCAACTATCACCACTGTTCCCAACCAACAGTGGGGTTAGACAGGGTTGCCCAATCTCTCCATTTCTCTTTAACTTTGCCATCGATGACATTCTGGAGTCAGCTCTGAAGGATGTGCGTGAAGGTGGTGTAGATCTGCTACCTGGAGATAGACTTTTCGACCTCGAGTATGCAGACGATATCGTCTTACTGTGCGATAGCATGCAGGCTGCCCAAATCGCACTTAATCAGTTGGCGATCAGTGTTTGTAAGTATGGTATGTGCTTTGCGCCGTCTAAGTGCAAAGTACTGTTACAAGATTGGCAGGAGCCTGTACCTGCACTCACTCTTGCGGGTGAACCGCTTGAAGTTGTTGATAAGTTTTTGTACCTGGTTAGTTGTGTGAGTGCTGCCGGAGGAGTGACGGATGAGATTTCCAACCGTATAATGAAGGCTAGGGTGGCATACATCAACTTGAGCCACCTATGGCGCCGTCGCGATGTTAGCCTGGCTGTCATAGGTCGGGTATACAATGCTTCGGTGCGGGCTGCCCTGCTCTACGCCTGTGAAACCTGGCCTCTCCGAGTTGAGAATGTGCGGCGACTCTGCGTGTTCGATCACCGCTGTCTCCGCAGGATTGCTTGCGTCCGATGGCATCATCGCGTGAGTAATTCTGAGGTTCCGCGGCGTGTGTTTGAACACAGTGGAGATCACCATTCATTGAGTGTCGTCGTCTGGAAACACCGGTTCCGGTGGCTTGGACATGTGCTTCGAATGTCACCCCAGAGGCTTCCGTACAGGTCTCTGTTCGCTAGCCCTGGGACGGGATGGGGGGGGGATTGGTCAGTCCATGACGTGGCGTCGTGCGATGAAGGATTTTTGTGCTAGATTAGCATCGGTTGGTGTGTCACGACTCGCGAGATAGCTCAAATCGATGGCTTGAAACGTTATCGGATATGGCCAAGAATAGTAATCAATGGCTAACGTGTTGCAATTTCGTTCTTCCTTCCCTTCCCGATGATAGTTAACGAATACTGTTTGAACTTGTTAAGCATGACTGTTTTCCTTCCAGATGGACTTCTTTATCCGTTCTCTACTTATATATTTTTTTCTCTTCTTTTGATTTATGTTGTTTTATTATTATTGTGTGGCGCATCCTTCTTGGTGCCATATTGTACCAAGTTTTTATGCGTTTAAGTAAATAAAAATCATCAGTTAACTTGAATGAAATGTGTTCAATAGGAAATCACAATGCCTCGGTGGTTCATTGGCAGAATGGTCGCCGACCACGTGTGTGGTTTTAGGTTTCATTTCCAGCCGATATGCTCCTAGACCTCACTTATCAGGTAGTAAGCCTGGTACATAGGGAAGGTTGAGCATGAGGCTAGCAATCTCACTTCATAAAAGAAGAAATCACTTCGAGAACTTCAGAGCTCCAGCATGAAGTCCTATGTTACACTGGGGACTCCAGGGAATTAAATAATAAAAAAAGCGGGTCCAGATTATTTTGGCAGCTAGATTAGCGGGATATACGAAGTTGGTTGATAGTGGACAGGAGTTAGTTGTAGTCTGTATACATAGAAAATTCACGTCAAATCATTTAATGTCAGTGTCACCTGTTGCTGTCGTAGTAACCGGAATTTGTTTGAAAATATTATATCAAGGAAGATTTCATTACAAATGAACACAAAGAGGAAGCTAGAAAAGTATTTCACCTGAATTGGGGAGTCTTTAGTAGGTTCCAGTTGTTATTACACAGGGCATTAAGACTAAGACTGTAGCGTTGTAAGCAAAACATGGTAGCTCTCCTTAGGCTGAGATATAAGTGTACGATTTTCATACATTGTATTATAATACTTCTGCCTATATTTCGCATGTCTAACTGGATAGAACGATATGTAGGGTTGGCGTTTCACTTTTCGTCTCCTACATTGCAGAGTAGTTTTGAGTATGATCGTAGACTGTGAGTAGTTTTTGTTAGGATTTTTAAAAGCCAGTTAGTCCTACCTAGTAATTAAAACACCAATGAGGTTGCCAATACGTCTAATGAAAAAATATTTTTGATGCCTTCCTGTCATTTCCAACAAGCTAAGTTTGCAATGAATACATGCAACCATGGTGGTTTCCGATTCTGATCATAAAACGTTGTCCGTGTATTAAGCTCAGCAGGTCTGGGCAAAAAATACAAGTCTAATCCACGATTTCGTAATTTGTCGGGAAGAACTCTATTGCTCTAAGAGGGGTGAACCCTTATTCAATCTTAATTGACACAATTTGCTCACTTTTTCCCTTATCTAAAAATTAATGGTATGTTGTTAAAGTGTCCATCAGTATACATTTCGCTTCTGCTCTCAGGAATTAAAGTGTTTGTGTGACTATTTCGGAAAGTGTTGGTAATTACATTTACCAAGTGTTGGTTTGCAGGGATGTGATTGGTTGCAGATTTGATCACGAGTTGACATTAGTGAGAGAACCACCAGAAAACAAAGGAGTACTGGACAACTATTTCGTCTTAGTTTGGGAGTCTTCATAAGTACCTGTTCATCAGGCTCCGAACCCATGACCTTCTGGTTACAAAGCAAGATCGTAGACCATTCAGTCACTGACTCCCGAGTCAATGCTTCACGAATTTCAAGTTCACAATTTTAAGACGACAACTAGCTTATATCATCAGTGAGTATTTTTCCTCACGCCTGACATGCAAAGTTCTCCTTGGTTCTTCGGTGGTTTCCCAACTGATCTTATTTCGCGATAAAACCTGCAATTACATTTACTTCTCATGAAACCTTTAAATCTTTATGAGTATTAGCATTTTCATCTTGAATCTGAACAAAATCTAAGTAGATGGGTGGGGTTTCTAACCGGTGGTCCATTAGTTTGAAGTAGTAAGCCGACAACGGTGTGCCAAAATCCTAATGCAATTCCTACGCTACAAAGTATTTGAGAATTAGTTAGTGGATCTTCTGACATTAGTTTGAAGAATTCCAATGATTCACTTTGCTAAGCAAAAGGAGTTAAGTTTGTGACTATCACTGGGTCTTGCAGATTTTTACTAATAACACAACGTACAAGGTACTAGAATTTCGCTTAGCGAGACCTGCTGTGCTGTAAGGCATAATAATCGGACACTGGTTTTACGAGACTAAGAACAATTTTCCCCTGGTCGAATTCAATAGCAGTAGTCCCAAAGTTACCCTAAAGAATGGTATTAGAAATAAATAAGAATATGGAGAAAGTCTATGACGAATAGAAGAGTCTTGTGTGATCACAAGTGTACGAGCGGTCATTTGTTTCGGGCTGCTCGATCTGTCGATACCGGTTTCTTTTTCGAGTACCCGGAATAGAAAAAGCAGTTGCACAGTTGGTTGGCACAACTGCTTGAAGCCAGTCACACACAGCCTGTTTCATCCAGAAATTTTATCGCCAGCTACCTGTCGTCGTAGTGTAAATTTAGATGTACCACTTTCGA